TGTCACGCATTTAAAATTGGAAACACTGGAGGGAGAATAACGGAGTGAAAAACGATGATGCTAGTTTGGGACCACTGAGTCTGAGGTGCCTGTGAAAGCCCCAAGTGGATGTATTTGGTAGACAGTTCTGATTGTAGCTGCGTGCAGATGGTAGTTGGAGCCATGCCAGAGGAATAAGGCCAGTGGCAGTGCCCTGAGGATCCCAGGGTTCTGACATGGGAAAGTGTAGAGGAGGAGGAGTGAGAAGAAGGGCTTGAGGAGTGGCCTGAGAGGGGGAAGCACCGGGAAAACCCGGTTGTGGAAACCAGAGGGAGAGTGGTAGGCACCGAAGAAAGCTTCAGGCTCCGGGATTGCAGGTGAATATGACCTCCTCCTCCTGAGCCACATGCTAAGGTGATTAAAGTAGCACGCGAGGAACATCAGTAATGTACCCAGGTAATCTCGGTGCCTAGTCAGACCTCCGGGGGGCTATTCCATGTCTCAAAACAAGCAAAACTAGCCCAGCCAGCTTGGCTCAGTGATTGAGCGTCGACCTATGAACCAGGAGGTCACAGTTCAATTCCCGGTCAGGGCACATGCCCGGCTTGTGGGCTTGATCTCCAGTGGGGGACACTCCAGGAGGCAGCTGATTGATGATTCTCTCATCATTGATGTTTCTCTCTTTCTCTCCCTTCCTTTCTCTGAAATCAATAAAAATATATTTAAAAACAAACCCAAAACACAAGCAAACCTAGCAGGTCACCTTTAAATGCTCGGTGCTAGTGCTGTCCTCTGGCCATGGTTAGGAGACAGGCCGAATGGGCACCTGGCCGCTGTAGCACCATGCCCATCCATCACCCTCTCTCTCTATTTGGTCACTGGTTTTGCATTTCCCTCCCAAGCTTGCAGAAGAATCAGCTAACAGTGCTGTCACTGACGGCAATAAAGACAGCTTCCCATGTTCACGGTTTCACTGCAGGGAGTTGTACTCCTGCCTGTGCTGAGGCCCTACAAGACGCCAGGCTGTGCCCTGGCTTTGATGGTGGTTCATTACAGTGATGATGCGACGGAGGAGACCCTTCTCTGCCCTCCTTTCTCTCACTTTGCGTGTAACTTTGAGGAGACTCCAGTTGGTGGTTGTGGGAGATGGTGGCTCATTGGGTCCTCACAGTGACCCTGAAATAGCTTGACTGTAAGGTGGTCTGGGTTGGAAGGTTAGCAAGATGACCACTCAGTGTGTTCGGGGTTGTTTCCACTTTGATTTTCCAATGAAGTGGTAAGCCAATTGGCCAAAGGGTGTGCAAAAGAGAAAGTTCCTAATGAGTGGAGGTAGCTCCTTGGAGAAGCTTGAGAACTCACTGTCTTTTAACTTTGGCCAAAGAGAGAGGCTATCTAAGGGATTCCTTGCCCTCAGGCACATACTTCTGTGTTCTGTTTCTATATCATTAGAGCTTACCACAGGCCTTTCTCTTAACCTATCACAGACCCCATAGATTAAAATCCCCAGAAATCAGGATTTTAAAAAGATTCCCAGGTGATTCTAATGTGCAGCCAAGGTTGAGAACCACTGCCATAGAGTAAATATCATGATTTCCACTTGACAGATGAGGAGATTAAAACTGAGAGGTGGAGTGATCACAGCTAGCAATGGCAAGGCCAGGATTTAAACCCAAAGCTCTTGCTCTTTGGATAGGGTATTGGAGGTCATTTAGTCACATTCTTTAATTTTACATCTGAGGAAACAGCCCCAAGAGGTGAGGTGACTTGCCTAAGGACACAGTTTGTTATTAGCAGAGCCAGGACTAGAACCCACGTCCTGAGAGTCCCAGCCAACCACGCTAGCCAGCTGTCAGCTAAGTGGTGGACCCAGTTGGTCCCATCAGCCCACCATTGGCTCCATTTCCAAGCAGTGCCATCCTGGGGGGCTGTTGATCACTGACAGGGAGCGTTAGGTTGGGAACCGGCCACAGCGCGCATCGCAGACCTAGTTTGCTAATGTGCTGACGGTGCTTGTACACTAGCTGGTTGCTACACAACCAGGGCCCCTGGAGGGCTCAGTACCCTGTGCTGGAAACATATCAGTGATTTATTTCCTAGCCCAGCGAGCTTCCATTCTCGCCCGTATAAGGCAAATTTATTTGAAAAGAGGCCAGTTATTTCAAGTGATGAAAACCCCTCTAGTCTCCAAGTCCCTCGTGTCAGAGTTGCCAAAATGGCTGAGGCCCAGGACCGTTGGGGTGGCCACATTACAACAGGCGGGATGTGAGAGGCAGGTTGAAGTACATCCTTACCGTCCATGGTACCATATTTTTCTTTTTAACACATTTATTTGGCATTTCAGGCAAAGTCTTTTCCTAAATATTTTCCACGGATATCAGTGATAATTTTTAAGACTTCAAGTGCGTCATCCGGAAAGATGGGCCATCTTCTTAAGTGGATGTCACGCCTTACAGGGCCCAGTTCTCCCCACCCTACTCCCCACGCCCCCTGTTCTCCTCTCTTCATCGTATGCCACGCTGCGCTGGGGATTCTCATAGCAGAGAGTTCTTTCCCGGCACATGTATCTAGAATGGGCCGGCACTGTTAGGTGAGGACTCCTATGTGTATATGCCAGTGATTTAGAGAATTTTGCATTGAATGTAGTCTCATTCCAATATTTAAAAATCACAGACTCTCTCACCTTCATGGTAAGGCCAGAGGGACTCTCAGGGCATCCTGGGCCGTGGAAGTGGCTGGGTGCTGTGGGTACCCTCGTGGCCTTGGCGGGTGGGGTTACTTCCTCTCCCTGAGTCTTGGTTTCTCATTTTCTAAGAAGAGTGAGAGTTATTATGAATGTTCTAAGACCTTTCAGCTGTGGAACCTTTCCTTTAAGCAAACATTCTGACGCTCAAAGACGTAACCTCGATAAAAGGCAGAGGCTGAGGTGCAAGTGGGGTCTGACAGCTGGGCTTTTTTCTCCTCTCGGCCCCACGCCCTCTCTAGCTCCAGGCCCTGCTCAGACCCCTGCCCAGGGCAGGGCCGTGTCAGGCGTGGGCACCCTCAGACTGGCTGTTATTAAAGCCCCTTTGAGCACAGTGATTTTTAGAAAGTGTCTCATTCACGCCTCAAAATATTTCAAAAGAAGGAAAGCCCATTTTTCTCAGTTACCCATTCAGTTGCTGAGGATGTAGACTGCTTTTTGTATTGGTTAACACATTAAGCGCCTAGTCCAGCCGTGGGCAAACTACGGCCTGGCCGGATCCGGCCCGTTTGAAATGAATAAAACTAAAAAAAAAAAGACCGTACCCTTTTATGTAATGATGTTTACTTTGAATTTATATTAGTCACCGGTGACTGACACTATACAGTACTTTCCGTCCGGAGGACAAAACAGGCTGGGCGCTTAGCGTGTTAAATAACGTCAGTAGAGATTTTAAAACATTATGATATACGCTTATTTGCTAAATACTGGCAATTTGCTAAATATTGACAAACAGAAAGAAGGAAAAAATCTACATTATGCAAAGACAGCCACTATTAATTTTTTTTTAGTTCTTTCCTTTTTATTGGAAATACACTCATTATATAGAAATACAATTTGTTTATCCATTAACCACTGTTAATTTTTATTTTATTTCAAAAATGTGTATCTTTATTGATTTCAGAGAGGAAGGGAGAGGGAGAGAGAGAGAGAGAGAAACATCAATGACGAGAGAGAATTATTGATCAGCTGCCTCCTGCACACCCCCTACTGGGGATTGAGTCCGCAACCCAGACATGTGCCCTGACCATGAATCAAACCGTGACCTTTTGATTCATAGGTCGATGCTCAACCATGGAGCCACACTGGCCAGGAACCACTGTTCATTTTTTTAAATGTAAACGTGCTAGAAGTCTAACAAACAAACAGAAACGTGCACACGTCATAACTGGATGTGAATTATCACAAGGTGAACACACCCGTGCAATCAGTACCCCGATCAAGAACACTTCATAGAGAATGGATTTCCTCTGCGTCTTTTTCCTCTGCATAATGTCTTGTTTGGCTTTTCTGGAGCCATGATTTTTCTGTATCTGTCACTCCGATTCCTGCCTTTTAAATTCAGTATTAATGATAACATAAGCGTTTGTCACATTATTACGCATTCTTTGTGAGCCTCCCTTTCTTTAGCTGCAGACGCCTCCATCAGGGACATGTACCCACGCTCACTTAGCCAGCCTCCTCCTATTGGGCATTGGGGGGTGGTTTTGCTTTGATGAAAAGCAGTGTGGACAGTCTTTGTGCATAAAGTGTTGTCCACAGCTAGGCTGTTTCCTTCAGGCGCGTTCCCAGAAGTGGAATTCCTGGGCCAGAGCGTCCGAATACTTTGGAATCCGAGCGTGATGATTTTGTCCTCCGTCTTCTCAGACAGGCAGAGAATTCCATCCAAGGGCCCGGCACAGCTCCAGTGAGATCCTGCTGCGCTCCGTCCTGCCTCGGGCCTGCCTGGGGGGCCCTCCGGAATCTTCTATAGCTTGCCTATTCCATTTGGAAAAAAGGCTAAGAGCCAGTGCAGATTTGGAGCCAACTATCAATGATTTATCACAGCAAGGACAGGAATAGCCTGTCGATATAAAGAGAAACCCAAGGAAAATCTCCAAGCCTTGTTTTTTTTTATTTTATTTTATTTTTAATTTTTATTTATTTATTTATTTTTTAAAAATATTTTTTATTGATTTTTTTAAAAAAAT